ATATTTAATATATATTTAAAATAAATTTAAATATCTATAATTATAATTATATTTTTTTCCCATAATTATTAGAAATACATTTTTTACGCATTATAGTAATAAGAAACAGGGGCTTAAAAAAGGTCTTAATCATCATAAAATGTATTTTCCCAATGCAAAAAAACAGCCTTAGTCTTACATTTTATTAATAATATTATTTTGTGACACTGAGATGTATCCCAGCATGCAGTAGTCTTCTGCACTGTTCATTATTTTTTTTTTGCATTGACATTATTTTCATAACAATTACAGTATTTTTTAGTGTTTTTAAAATACTAGTATGTGTTTTTGTTTTCAAATTAATTTGCATACATTAAAGACAGAAATTGTACAATGATAGTTTAAATTAAATTATATTGCATATTAGATCAATTAGAAAATTTATGTGCTAATGGGACAGAAATTGTGTGAGCGAGAAGATTTTAAATTGTGTTTGGTGCCAGCAGCGTTAGCTTTGTTCTTGTCATTGTGAAGGCGATTCAGGTCTGTGTGAGCTCTAACGGCTATTATATTCTCATAATGAATGTGTGTGTGTGTGTGTGTGTGTGAGCGCTTACCTGAGCTCTCTCAGGATCTCCCTGAGACTCGGCACAAGGCTCCATGTTTGTCCAGACGCCGCCGGTCAACACTGTTCACAGCTCTGCATGTCTGCGGAGACACAAACACATTTACTTCAAACAACTGTGTCACGTTGCATGCACTCAAAATAATATTCAGCCCTAATTTTAAGATTTATGTATTTGAATTGCATGTAAAATTTAATTCCATTTGAATTACACAGTTTTAACATAAACTAATAAACTTAATGTGATGCATATTTGGCAGTCATACATTAAAAAAAACAGGTACGATTTTTGCCCCGGTATTATTTTAAGTATCACTTAGATACTATTATAGTTTTTACAAAAAAATGTAATACGTTTTTTAAATTTTAATTAAAGTTTTGGTAATTTTTTTTTTTTGTCAGTTTATTAGTTTTGGTTTTTTAAAACTGTATAATTACTTTGTTAAAATTGTATCATTCAAATGGATAGAACTTTTATATGAAATTAAAAGATATAAATATTACATTTAGGACTTAATAATAGGCTACTTCATTAACTTTGTTATTTACTATCCCTGTTTTTCATAAGTCATCAGTATTATTCATAAGTAAAAACCAACAATATTTTTTTTTCACCATGTTTCCAAATTCTCTACCCCAGGTCCAAAAGAAATGTAAAGAATGTACAAACTGAAAACATTAAATACTTTTGTGATCTATTTCCATTTGTTATTTTCAAAAGAGAAATACTGTCATGGATGTTTACCTGCAATAAATAACACTTTAATATCTAAAGAGTGTTCGTGTGATTTTATACATTAGTAATGTTGGGAAATGAATAAATGCATAATAATCGTCATAATCGTAAAACCGTGATTATTCCTCAGACAATAATCGTACCAACAAAATCTATAATCGTTGCATCCCTATTTAGGACTAAATATTTTTTATGATTTTTATGATTTAAGCTTAGCCAAACATCTTGATCATAATTAAAGGAATAATTCACTCAAAAATGACAACTGTTATTAAAAAACTGGACACTTAGAGAGAACGAGACCATCAGACTGACATTTAAAGCAACCAACTGCAGTTTGTTCTGCAAAATTCCTCACACATATCTGCTAGAGTTCTATGATGAAAGTCTCTAGACAATAACCGGCCATTTCTTAACAACTCCCATCATTTTCCCAGCACATTTCTTGACGATATCTGTACGCAGACGGCTCTTATTTGAAGCGCAAACATTGATGGCACTCGTCACACAAGTGCTTCAGATAATATGCTCTTCTTCAACGCATGGCCTGTCAACTGTTCAGACCAAACTTTCACTGGCGGAAACTTCTGACCTATAATTAGCAAAGTAGGTCACTGAGGGGGAAAAAAACGAGGGAGAGAAAGTAGAGACGGTCCAGGAGGCCTTATGGGCTGTGAAATTGTGAAATGTGTAACAGTGTAGCGTGACGTGGCTCGATTTACACCCTTTAACTGACCTCTTCTGCTCTTGCCTTTTTATTGTGTGTGTGTGTGTGTGTGTGTGTGTCCGTGTGTGTGTATGTGTGTGTGTGTGTGCGTGTGCGTGTGTGTGTGTGTGAGAGAGTGAGTGAGTGAGTATATACACATATATATAAAAATATATTTTTTTGTTAATTGAAATAAAGCTGAAATAAAATATATTAGAAACCTAAATATTAGATGAACAACTTAAATTTATTTCAGTTAGATGCCAAGGGAACATTTCTAATTTTAATTTCGCTGAAACAATACAATTACTAACTACAAAATAAAATAAATAATAAATTACATAAAAACAATATTGAAATGAACTAAACTAAAACTGAAATAAATTACAAAAAAGTTAACATATTAAGTTAAAATGAAAAATTAAAATGAATGTTATGTTAAATTAAAATGAAAAGAAAAACAATATTGAAATAAACTAAACTAAAACTGAAATAAATTACAAAAAAGTTAACATGTTAAGTTAAAATGAAAAATGAAAATGAATGTTATGTTAAATTAAAATGAAAAGTATTTTAAAGTATAAAAATAAAAGCCGATTCAAAATATTACTAATATTGCTAAAATAAATAAAAACTAAAACAATAAATAATAAATAAAATAAAAACAAAATCTGAACTAAAACTAAAATAAATTACTAAAATGACTTCAAATTTAACCAAAATTAAAATGAAAAGTATTAAAAAATTTATAAAAATAAAAGCAAAAGCAAAATATTAATAAAATAAAATAAAACTAAATAAAAACTAAAACTCAAAACACAAATAAATTACTAAAAATGTAACAAATTAAAATGAATAGTATTTAAGGATAAACATAAAAGCCATTAAAAAAATTTAAAAAACAAAATCATAAATTAAATTAAATATATATTTATATATATGTTATCATAATTATAACAAAAATAAAAAATTAACAACTAAGCTAAAAATGTGACAAAAAATGAAATGCAAAGTAATAAAACAGTATAAAAATAAAAGATAATTTAAAATAGTAATGTAAACCATAACAGTATATGAATAATACTAAAATAACGCTGCTCTATAGGCCATTTCCAGTCTCAGATCAGGATGTGAAACTGTTTGAGACTCACAGCTTACTGACTAGTAAACACAACTTGTGTGTGACTTTTAGACTGGCCCTGTCACATTAACACACCAGCGGGACGCTAACGACAAACAGAAAGTGGCACACAACTGTGCACCGACATGCTTCTAAACCTACATTCACACATATCACACAAATATCTCCAGCCTGTGGCTGAAACATATCGGAGGGAGATAATGGTCCGGAAACACACACAAACACACACTGCAGAATGAAATGGAAAGAGTTGCAGGCGTGACATCAAAGGAAACTTCAATGCGTTCAGTGAAACACAAAGCCGGTGCAGGTGAACGACTGGAGGGTTGTGCTGGTCTGGGAACAGCGATTTTAGCCGCAGGCGGTCCAGCTAACAGGATAGGAGAGGGATATTTAAATCTCTAAACACTAGGGCTGTCAAAAAAAAATTCGAATTTCGAATATTCGTCGAATTAGAAAAAAAATCCACATTCGAATGCAAAAACGTTGCATTCAAATTTTAGGTCTGCGTCAGCCGTCAGGCAGCCTTATCAGTGGCGCACGAAATGCGACGACAATGTCATTGCATCTGAATGCTTTTGTTAGCCTATCCAGTTGAACCCACTAGATGCGGCGCTGCTACACTGTTCATTCAATATATTGCGGAAAATGAGAGCATCAGTGTGGCGAAAAATTCGAATTTAGTTTTTCAGCCATTTTGACAGCCCTACTAAACATCACTCTGTTTATTTAGCACCTATTCTGCTATTTTAATTATATATATATAATTAAAAGGAACCACCATTGATCAAACAGCCACTGCTGCCAATTCACTTCAAAATGTAAAACAGTAAAATACAGTCAAATGTAGTTAAAAACAATCAAGGCATGCTTTCCACACCATTCTTCATAAAATTAACAAGGAATCATTTTATTTAAATGCACCAATATAACAATCCATAGCAATTAACAGTAATATTTAGTTCTATACATCTTTACTGAAACATGTAAAAATCATATAAAAACCATATAAAAATGTTAAATGCCACAAAGACATCTATGAACTTTTTTTTTTTGTGGTAATGCAAATGAATCGCTTTGAGTATTTCGAACAGATTCACTGAAACAGATCAAAATAAATTAACTGACAAAAATGAATCATAACAGTTATATTAGAGACACTACTAAAATAACTTGATGCTCTGAAGTCATGCCACATTAACGTTTTGTGCTCTTTTTTGACCTTAAAAAGCTATCTGAAGCACCTAGTGTACAAAGAAAATGCTTCTTCCTATTGATACATCAAAGCAATTTTCCAAGGACATTCAGTCTTGATTTAAAGTGTCGACGCCCTGTCAGTGTGTAGAAATAACATTAAACACAAAGGATTAGCCGGTTTAGGTCAGCGGTACTAGATCACTCCTAACTCTGCACATTTTGTATGTTACCCCTGAATCGACTCGTTGGTAGACACCAAGGTTGGTTTTAAAAACACATGAAATTCATTTCAGGCTTCTAAAGCAAACCACAAAAGAGAAAGAAAGGGAATCAAAATTAGGGATGCACCGAATGTTCGGTAACTGAAATTATTCGCACGAAAAACATCCCGCGAGTAATCTAGAGCGAGTGACGCGATGCACAAATTTGCTTCGCGTTTGGTGTGAACACACCATTACTCGTCAGTTGCTCAGTCACATTTTTTGTTTTTTTTTACAAGGCACGTGACAATGCGATACGTGCGACGTATTCGTAATG